CACACTCACCACGAGACTAAGAGAGGCATGGCATGGCACTGAGGGATTGTGGGAAACGCTACCATTGGGGCCGTCCACACCAGGAGGAGTTGCAGACCATGACTACTGGGGGCGCCGGCGCCCGGACCCCCGACCCGGCAGACAGGGGGATCCCCACAACGAGGTGGGGAGCCCCCCAACCAGCCGGCTGAAAGGACCCGCAGACAGAACCCCCAGTAGCAGACCACACACAACCCCCAGTGTGGAGGACCCCCCTAAGGAAACACTGGAATAAAAACTAAAAACTTGAAGAATAAAAGGCTTTATGTAAGATAAAATAAAAGTTAAAAGAGTAAATACATAAAGATAAAATACAAAGATAAAATGCAAATATAAATAAATGATAAGAATATAAAAGAATTACAGTTCAATTAAAAGCCTGATTAAAAAGGAGTGTCTTTAACCTTCTTTTAAAAGTATCGACAGTCTCTGCAGTCCTGAGGCTCTCCGGCAGGCTGTTCCATAGGTGGGGGCCATAGTGGCTAAATGCCGCCTCACCGTGGGTTCTGGTTCTTGCTGCTGGAATGGATAAAAGGCCACTGACCTCAGGATCCATGAGGGTCGATACGGTAAAAGCAGGTCAGATAAATAACTGGGTGCAAGGCCTTTAAGACATTTATTAACTAATAAAAGAACCTTAAAATCGATCCTGAAGCGGACGGGGAGCCAATGCAGCGACCTTAAAACAGGTGTAATGTGATCCCGCCCTCTGGGCGAGCGGCTGAGTTTTGTAGCAATTGGAGATTTAAAATACTCTTTTTGGGAAGACCAGAGAGCAGGGCATTACAATAATCTAACCGGCAAGAAATAAAAGCATGCATTAGCACCTCCGTGCTGGCCTGAGAGAGAAACAGGTGAACTCTGGATATGTTCTTGAGATGATAAAAACCTATTTTCACTATATTTTTAATATGAGGGACAAAATTCAGCTCAGAGTCAAAAATTACGCCCAGGTTTTTTACAGAATGTGCTGGTTTAAAACCTTGTAGATTCGATAAAAGTTTCTCTCTCTGGCCGTCAGGATCTACAACTAAAACTTCAGTTTTGTCCTGGTTGAGCTGTAGGAAATTTGCTGCCATCCATGACTTGATGTCTAAAATGCATTTAAAAAGGGTATCAGTTGGCCCTGTGTCATCAGGAGACACGGCGATGTACAGCTGTGTATCATCAGCATAACTATGGAAACTGATGACGTCCCCAAGAGGAAGCATGTAAAGATTTAAAAAAATGGGACCTAAAATTGAACCTCGGGGAACCCCACACCTAATTTTATGGGTCCCTGAGGAACACGTATCCATACTTACATAAAAGCATCGGTCTGTGAGGTAGGAGCTGAACCAGTTAAAAACAGTACCAGAGAGGCCGACCAGGTGCTTAAGTCTATTTAATAAAATGTGATGGTCTACTGTATCGAAAGCAGTGCTTAGATCCAGTAGAACCAACACTGTAAGTTTCTTGTTATCAAAATTCCACCTGACGTCATTTAAAATCTTTAAAAGTGTTGTCTCGGTACTGTGGTTCATCCTAAAACCAGACTGATGTCTTTCTAAAATGTTTTTTCTGATTAAAAAGTCATTGACTTGGTTAAAAACCAGTTTTTCTAAAATTTTACTTAAAAAAGGTAAGTTGGATACGGGTCGGTAGTTATTAAAAACAGTGGCATCTAAATTGCTCTTCTTCAGAAGGGGCTTCACCACCGCCGTTTTAAAGGCGGTGGGGAAGACGCCCGTCTGAAGAGAGCAATTCATCATATTTAAAATCTGTTCCTCAAACAATCCATAAAAAGATTTTAAAAGTGATGTGGGAATTGGGTCTAAAAGGCAGGTTGTTGGGTTTGATTGGGAGAAAACTCGACCAAGTGTCCTTGCATCAACCAGGGCAAAACTTTCCAGTGTTTCCTCAGGCAAGGGCAACAGTCCAGGTGTGTTCACAGGTAAAACTTGTTGGGATAAAAGGCTGGACCTGATGTCCTTGATTGTAGTTCTGAAGTGGTCTGCAAAATTCTCGCAAAGAGCGTCTGTTGACGTATTAAAAGCTTTATTAAAATTAGTGCCAATTAAAATATCAAAGGTGGAGAAGAGGTACCGGGGATTGTCTTTATGGTCTGAAATGAGTTTTGAGAAATGGGACGTTCTTGCCTGTTTGACTGTGTTATTATGGGTTTTGAGTTGTTGACGAAAAATCTCATAATGTACAGTTAGTTTTAATTCCCTCCATCTCCTCTCTGCACTCCTGCAGTTTCTTTTTAATGTAATG